GCTATTCTGTGTCCCTAGAGAGCCTAGGTGGGGAAGAAAGAAGGAGAGCTCCTCCTGTACCAGACAGTCAGCAGATCTTTGTTGGTAACCTTCCACACACAGCTGGAGAGGATGAACTGAAGGTATGGGGTTTGAATACGTCTTTGTGTTCTTTTTTTATTAGTATTGTCTTTTTCATTGTTTCATATATTAATTTTTTCTTTCGTTCTCATTTTTACAAACTAATTGCAGATAGTCAGTCAGTGTTTAACATACCTTTTCTTGGTATATGTAAATAGATTAATGCATGTTAATTTGCAGGCGGAATTCTCAAGATTTGGGAAAATTATGGATATCCGTATTAATACTGCTAAAGGAAAAACTGGTCCCAAAGGTCAGGTCCCCAACTTCGGTTTCATCACATTTGAAGAGGAAGGTTCTGTGTCAAAGGCTCTCAACTCTAGGGTAAGGACAAAGATAACAATCTACAATCTGAATGTTTGAGATATGTTAGAGAAATTATGTAGCATATGAGTAGTGTTAAAATGTCAGCTGTATTTATTACAAAATGAAAGTCCAAATAGAATATATGCTTTTAATGTACAGTTGCTTTTCATATACTACAACTAAAAATGATCATGTAATTTTAAGATTTGTTTTAATCTAAACTTTTATTTACTTCCTACAGCCAATCCATCTTAATGGTGAGCATCGGTTGAACGTGGAAGAGAAGAAGGCTCGCCTAAGGATGGATGGAGGCGGAATGGGCCGTCCCAACAGTGGCCGTGGAGGAATGGGAGGCAGCGGTGGCATGCGTCAAGGCCCCCCTAGTGGCTTACAGGGACGAGGAGGAGGACGACCAGGCTTTAATCGTGACAGTAATCGAGGTGGACCAGGTGGACCCAGAGGTAGTTTTGCACCGCGACGTTAGGCTAACCAATTATAGTCACCATGGCCTACTCTCTTACTACTCATAGGAAACCTCTGTCCAGTGCAGCCAATCTCAAACGGATGGCTGCAGTGTAAGTGGTCCAAACATCTGCAAGAGGACTGCTCAAGTAAAATCTGCAGTAGAGCCATTGTACAACTTGATGGAATGGTGTGCTTCTCAGTGAATGTTGCTGTTTTGATAATGTAACTCAACAATGGCCACTTGAAAATACTGGTGCTTGAGGTGATGATGATGAAACTTCAGTGATATGGTAAACAAACTTCACAATAACATAAGTGGCTTCTTTTGTAATTTAGTTACTCCCACTTCTCTAACTGTATTAGAGTTATCAGATTGATTTCCATTTCGTGAACACAACAATTTTTCCACTGATGACGTGTACTTAGACATAGTGCCTCCCCTGATGTAGATTGTGTTTCTATGAGTAAATAAAAGAACCCTCCTTTTTTGGATGGTTGTGATGGAATTCAATCTCTAAATCTTGGACAACAATTACTCTTTTATTATTATTTGGTAATAATAAAACATGTTATTGTGATTACCAAAATCATTCCCTTTTTAACAGCTACTAGTCAGGATTGAAACAAAGGTTTTTTTGTGCTTATTTCAGTTTCAACATCTAAAAAGTCCTTGAAATTATATTGGAAATATAGAAGAAGTGGATTAAAATGGGTACTGCTTGAGGTCATTGATTTATGTACTGGTATTTGATTCCAGTGATGTTTTTGTATGTTAGAATTTTTTAACTTATTTTTGAAACTTCAGCTGAGACTGATGTACATTTTGTACCTGGCAACAGAAGATTGGTGAGGTTTAGTCCACTTTTTCCAGTGATCAGCATGCAGACACAGTAATCCTCAGAGATGTCTTATCTGACTTGGCTCACATCCATGCTCACTGTTTTGACGTTACATTTCCAGCACTGCTGTCATACTGGGCATTACACATACATAAAATGTTAACTTGTTACATGTAGTTCACAAGGCCAAGTACAGATTAGCATCTGCTAATAGCTGATTCCATTTTTTTATTTGATGTGGGTGCAGTTGCCAATATCCGTTAATATTGACAACTTCACATTATCACAGAAGTACTTTAACTGGAGGAGCGAAGAGGAAACCAGTGTCCAAGGTCACATTCTCGTCTATTTTGTAGTAAATCACTTTGATCACTACTCAAAGATTATGCTTGATTCAACCTCTTTCATATGTTGTAGTGTGCTAGTTTCTCCGAATGGGAAATGAATAATAGAATGGAGCATTTATATTTCACAAGTGTGAGTTGTAAACACCCCAAAGCATTTCTATATTAAAAAAAAAGAAAAAAAACAATGTGCGAAAGAGGGAATAAAATAGCCTTATCACCACCAACACTGTTGCAACTACTTTCCCCATGTTTGTTTCATTCCAAGGGATTAGATATAAAGGGTGTCTTGAGCATGCAATAATTTTCAGAACTGGTAAAATGGAATATTGTTTTTTATATTATCATCGTAAGTTTTAGTATTAAATTTTTCATTGTGTAAACTATGTACAAATCAGTATTACTTTTCTTTTTCTTTTTTTTTTTCTTTTTCTTTTTTTTTTTCTTTATGCACAGTTTGTTACTGGTTGTGTTACAATGGAAGCTCTCACACTACAGTATGATGAGCAGAAATGTGATATTAGTTTAGATAGTGGGCAAGCAGACACAGGGCAGATCTGAAAGTCATTGCATGTCAGGATAGCTTTTGAAACTGTCCTTTCAAATTGTTATAGAAGGGCATTAGATAATTGCCCACACCTGGAGCTAGATGAACCTCTGGGAATTGTTACAGGGACATCAGAAGAGAACTTAGCTCACAGGTCATGTGAAGGGATATGCTGTAGTTGCAGACTTTATACATTCTGTTCATGAACTATTGAATTGGTAAATTGATATGGGTTACTATTTTCCTTAAGCATAAAGGAAAATAATTCAGATTTAATTTGAAAGTCTAGACACCTCAAACTTCAGCTATTCCAAATCCCATAGCTTACATTATCATTGGAGCTCCTGGGAGCATGGCTAGCATGTGATGTTTTAATTTGATTTAAAAGTTTTGAAAAAGGTTTGAAAATTGCTTTTGCTTTAACTTCCTTTAAGGTCTGTTCTTGCAGCTCCTCCTGGTCAGAAACTTTGTGATGTCAAATACTGATGAATGAAAGTGAGAAATAAAAGCCTCTTTTCATGTACTGTTTTCTTTTATTTCCTGAGTACATAATTTAGGTACATAGTGATTTTAGCTATCAACTGTGTTCCTGATTAGTACTGCTGTTCTAAAGAAAAGGTAATGATCTCAAGTCCACATAAACTGGTATATGTGGGATCTTCAGTTGTCTAATCTGATCAAAAAAAAAATTTCTGTCCAGCCTTGAAGAAAAATTCAGTAGATATTGATAACAGAAATACTGAACATGTTGGATCATCAGGGTTCTAAGTACAGTTTGCAAACCAGTAACAGGTGACAATTATTGAGGTGTAGTGTCATGGAATAAAGGTATACTTGATAAAATAATTTCCTTTGTAGTAAGTACAGTAATATCTTCAGAGTCTTAACAGCTAATTTCATATTTTACTTTGATCATTTGTGTGAAGATTAAGTGTGAAGGGTGATGGTCGATCCCAATTTTATTTTACCCAAGTCTTTTCTTTGGCATCATTTAAGATTTTCATCAACAAAGGAATTGTATTGAAAAGGAGTTTGATATCAATCACTTGTGTTGTACCCAGCCACAGAACCAAATAGAAATTCCAGAAAAATGTGAGGAGCCTTGATATTCTACTACTTGATGTTGCTATTCTGACACCAAAGATTAATGTTTCCTTATATATATATATTTTTTTTTCTATTTTCTTTTATCAAGTTAAAAGCTGAGATGCAGCAGAACAAATTAAGCAAATTCTGTTTGAACCAAGAGATTTGGATGAACTAGTAGTGGCCAAGAAATCAGTGATGAAAATGTAACCCATTGGCTACCAAATGTTGGGTGACACATCACAAAGAATCGTGGTTCTGATCACTAGGGTGAGATTAATTGGGTATGGAGTGCCATGTACTAATGTATGTTCATCCTTACTAGATGTCAGAAAAGTTTACCTTTCATTACTGGGTTAACAGAAAACAGTGGAGATACAAAGGGAAAGAGACAAAGATATGGAGTGCTGCTGCTAATGTCGCCAAGGTCTCCTACCCTTTTTCTAATATTTCAAATATCTTGTGCTGCAGCTGCAATTTAGGGTTGGATATCATCAAAACTACTACTTGGATCAAATTTTTAAAATTAAATTATTAAATAATAAAGGGCATTTTGCGGGTAAAAGAGTTTCTTAACTTTGGTCATTTATGAAAATTCATACCTTATTTTGATGTATTGCATTATTTATCAAGTCTACTTTAAAACTGTTTTTACAAAAGCATGAATGATATTTTGCTCAATGTTAAATTCTGACATGCTTAAAATGGAAAGTATTTTTTTTATGAATGTTATATAGAAAGAAAAATCTTGCATAATTAAATGATATACAAATCAAATTGAAAGTGGCCTTCATTATTGGATACTGTACTGGAGAACAAATGTAAACCATTCCTTTATTCCCGAAGGTAACTTGCGTGTGATCCCCCTGAATCCTTGCTCATTGTCATGGGGTGCTTAAGAGAGAGACAGGCCCAATGTAGAGGATCGCACCTGTCTTGGACCTCTGCCCTTGCCTTGACTACTTTTGCATGGACTTTTCTTCCCCTTTCCTTTTCCTTTTCCTTCTATTCTTCATCCCCTTCTGTCCACATCCTAAAGTGTGAGAGCCATGCTGAAAGGATAAAAAGCTGTCTTTGTGTCAGTACTGAACGACCTTCATACTTCATTTGCTTTTCCCTTTTTACCCTTTTCACTACCATACTAACCTACAGGACTCTACAGCCTTCTACATCTAACATGTCCTATTTGTTAACTCATTTTTAACTTTTTACCACAATTCTTTATTATAGCGCTATATGGCCTTAGATGTCTGTCACATTGCTTATCATAGTGCTGTATGGCCTTAGATGTTT